GGTAAGTGGAGATCAGCTAGTGGCAGAAATACCCTGGTAAATTATTGTGGGTATTCTTTAAAATATCAAGCTGGGCTGCAGATATTCAAAACCTGATGGTTTCCCAGCAGAACCAATTATAGTCTTTTAATTTGACTTTCCCTTTGAGGATTGGCAAAGACTCAGGTAGCTTTGGGAACAATGAACCAATCATTTATGGAATATGGCAAATAACGAGTTAGGTCATAAAATATTTAGACCTTCCTGGAGTTGTTCAGAAAAATACATTTTGGAAATTTTTGTGTTTGTGTTTATGTTCAGAGTTCTAGAGAGTAGAAAGGATTTTATATTTTATTCCACCTTCAGGTCACGTATTCTGGAAGTGTTGCAAATTGTATTTTTCCAGAGCTAGATTAAAAACAACTGCAAGTGACCAATAATTTTGGCACAATTCTAAAGTAAGGTGGCCAGTTATCATTATGTGCTTTTATTTATTCATTTTTTGGATAATTGTAAAAGAGGATTTGCAGTTGTCTCATTAACAATTGGGCTTCAAGTAACCTGTAAAAACTTGAAATATAGCTTATTTGGTTCATACCTTCTTATTTCCATTTGTACTCTATCCTTGGGGTAGTTAGTATCAGAACATCACACACACACACACACACACACACACACACACACAAAACAAGGTTCTTTGAGAAAAGTGGGAAAACTTTATTTGTTGTATTGGCAGAGAGAAGATGAGGTAAGAAATTTCCATAAAGTGTACACATGATGGTGCAGACATGTGTGCAAATTTGGAAGTAATCATAATCTCAAATATAAATGCAGTAGATTTTAGTTTAGTTAGGAATAATATTCCTTGATGATTGATCATGGTTGATAGACAACTCCAAAATCCCTGCTATTTTTTCCTAAATAAGAAAAATTGGGAATAGGAATATTGGTCAAGTATGATTGGGTACACACAGAATTTGTCTTCTTAAAGATAAATTTCTTTATCTTTAAATTGCCTGATGATCTCAACAGTTGATCAAATTGAACTATATATTTTGTAAATATGGCCAGGATGCTGCCATACATGCATTTTCTATCAACACTGAAATCTCCCAAACCTCTGATAGTTGTTACTGAGAAGATGCTGCAGTCTCAAGAACAATTATGTGCATTTTAGAGCAATTTCTCAAATTTCGGTCTTGCTTCTATCTTGCTTTTCTTTCTTTGCCACTAGTTTCCCTTTGGTGTCTTTGCTTGAGGCAAGGAATCATCTGTATGGTTCACGTACGTTTCCAGGCTTCTACTCATAAACTGTAACTTGGTAATGCTTGAACTCTTGCATAGCTAGAGTTAACTAGATTTACATTTTCTTTTCAGGTTAGCAAGTCTCCTGTATTTGTCCCTGGTGTTTGGGGACCCTATTATTCAGCAATGGTGCCAGGATTGTGGCTAAATGAAGGAGGTCAAAGTGTAACAGGGAAACTGGTAGGTCTAATTTTTAGTTCCATTTATCTTTATTTAAGCTTTATTTATCATTATCTTCACATTTCTTAAATGAAAACATGCAATATATTATATTATGTAATAATGGTTAGAATTATTGTATAATAATGGTTAGAATTATAAAGTTATGTGACAGCTCAAACTTCAAAATAATTTTACCATCTACATCAGATCCATAGTAAGTTTCTCTTAAGTCATGGGAGAGAGGGTGATAGCTATATTTATTCCTCAAATGCCATAGGAAGTACCGTAGATTTGCCTTATTCATGTTGCCATGAAATAGATTTCAGCTCTGGACTGAGTTCTATTTGCAAAAGAAAGATAAAAGAGAAACTACTCTCCTATTGTATCTTCTTAATATAGACACATATTTATCTATTACCTTATTTTTGTATACTGTCTTTCATGTGCTGCTGAAAGAAGCATATACATTTTTCAAGTAAATGAATATATTCATTAGTAAAGTTAAAGTTTGGATCTGGATCATTCATGCTTCGGTGACGGGATTTAAGGAATGAGTTTTAACTTTATTCACAGATATATTCATTTCAGTCATTGAGAGCTTCATTTTGTTTTGTTTTGTTTTTAAATGTGTTTGGGAATAGACGTTCTACTTATTTATTATTCATCATTAAATTTATATGTCTGGTATACCTTTGCTTACTGATTCATGTGCTGAATTTGAGAGCTTAGGAGAAATGCCTGCTCTTGAAGGGAACTGCAGTTTCCTAATAATGATCCCTCAAGAATCAAGTTTGAATCCTCCTGGATCTAGTATTAATGCTGGATAGCTACAGCATATAATGGAATGGAGGCCTCTTTGTCAGCTTTAGACAATAACCAACCATATTCTATTTGGAAGAAGAACACTTAATTTCAGTGATTGTTTTCTGGTAACCTTCAAGTTGGATTAGTGCAATTCATTTTTTTGCAGAACGGCCTAGAGAATGTAGGGATATGCCTCCTGAAGTTCCCATTTAAACTGTGTGAAACAACTATTGTAAGATATCAAAATAATAAATCTTAGATTCATCCTTCAGTTTATCCTCAGAACAAACTGTTAGTGGATTGGACTGAGAGAAAATGGCTGGCCTAAGTTTCCTGAGCTGCAGGACTGAGTAGAAATTTGAACTTATATCATCATCAGTTATAGTTCAAGATTAAATTTATTTTTATGTTTTAGACTGTCTGCACAATTCTATATATACCTACTGTAGCATATTCCAGACTCATACAATTCAACAGAACTTATAGTTCTGAGATGTGAATAGAAATAATAATATGCTGCATATTTCAAGTATGCAGACATAAAATTCATATACATATTGACAATTAATGTTAAGGGACTTATAAACAATATATTAGGGAACAATATTGTTCCCCGATCTTGGGCACAAATCAAAAGTCATTCTGTTGAAGATTTGGGGCCTTAATCACATTTCACAATTACAGCAGTAATTGCTGTAGTTTGAATTACCCTGTACAAAAAGACAATGTAAGGGTTAATTGTAGTAAGGCCTTACTTTATTAATAAATTGACAACTTAATATTCAGTGCTTATTTTTCTGCATATTGGCAGAGTGCACAGTTGCTGAAACAAATCGGTCACCCAGGTAATCATATTTCAAAAATATAAAACTATCTTCAATCAAAAAGCAATTTTTTTTTTCATTTTCTTTTCTTTTCTTAAGATAGAGCATATTGTCCAAGGACATGCTGCTTTCCCAGAACTACAAACAAAATCTGAAGCCAGGTCAGGTCATAAACCTTATTTCTTCTTCATTTATTATTCTGTTTAGAAATTTCTTTTTTGGCTGTAATATAGAAAAACCAGTTAGCCAGAATCTTCCAGCTTCATTTGGGATGTGAGTTGGGCTGTGTCTCATATTTACATATCTGTCCAAACTTCTTTATCCTCCTTATTTTAGCATACATTTTTAATACACCTGAGTAATGAGTCACATGTCTGTTTCTGAGATACTGTCATCAACAGAAGTTGATTTTCTGTGGTCATCACAGACTTGTAAAATAATTTTTGTGAGTGCCCGGACAACAGTTCAGCTTAGTTTTCACATGCTTCATTTCAGTGTTTAAATATGCATTTATCTTTGCAAAATTCCTACCAAAATCCCATCTTTTAATAATTTTCAGTGAGATGATCATATAAAGAATTTAATCTTATAACAAAACAGTTATAAAGCTCTTACAATAATATAATACTATACTACATTGCTTAACGCATTGTAAGCCGCCCTGAGTCTCCGGAGAAGGGCGGCATATAAATTAAAGCAAATATATATATATATATATATATATATATATATATATATATATATATATATATGTGTGTGTGTGTGTGTGTGTGTGTGTGTGTGTGTGTGTGTGTGTATGTATATGTATATATATATATATATATGTATATATATATATATATTTATATGTACATATATATATATGTATATATATATATATATATAAAACTTACATAAACTTACATATATATATATATATGTTTATATATATATAACTGTACACACACACACACATATATATGTGTGGAAATATATATACTTATATATATAAGTAATGGAAAGTTAATTGAGACTTAAAAACACTCACACTCATTCTTATGAGTGATGTCTCCTAGCCCCTCCTTCTCAAAAAATTAAATAGAATCTTGGATTCTTTGCCACTAAATGGTGGTCATCACTAATCAAAAGGGATATACTCTGGTATTTATCTTGTTTATCTCACAGAAAAGAAAGTTTTTAGCTTTTACACAAGAGGAAGAACTCAGTGAAAGTCTCTTAATAATCAGACAAAAGCATTTGGCATACTTTTGAACCATTCCATACAGATCCCCCAATTTTAACCCAGTCATCAATGATTCTTCAGTCTCTCACAATAACTTTTTTACTTCGGAAATAATAGCTCACTTTATATCTTAACAATTTCAATTTTTTATAGACTAAGAAATAAATCAAACAAACACACTTTCCTATTTTGTAACAAATAATTTGTTCGGTGTATGCCATCAACTAGCAGATATGTCTGGTGTGCTTATATGCATTCGGGATATGTATTTAAGTTTTGAATTGAAAACTTGAAATATTTTTTAAAAGTCTAATTTATGTAGCAGTTTTGGAAATATGAATTAGATCAGTTCAGTTAAATATGTGCTCCAAATAAAATTATTTCCACCCAAGTGTAAAGGCTACTGCTCTAGAGAGAAGACCAAGTGAAAATAAGGAAGGAAAAGAGATATTACCTCATACCGGTATGTTAACCATTATGCAGGTTTTTAGGGAGGGGAACTTAATGGAACAGAGTAGTGGACTTTTAAAAATATGAGTTAGAGACAATATATATGTTTGATGATTGTTATCTCTACAATTTTCAGTTTTGACGTCAGGATCTCTGTTTTCTACCACACTGAAAATAAATTGATCCTCCCCTATAATACCAGAAAATTCAGTTTATTCTTAATTAAAATGTGATTTTGTAAAGCTGGACAGAGATGAGTTCTGATTATTTATTTATTTATTTATTTTTCAAATTTATATGCCGCCCTTCTCCCGTAGGACTCGGGGTGGCTCATAAAATAAAAACAATACAACAATCCAAGTGCTAAAATTAGTCAATTAAAAACCCCAGACAATTAAAAAACCTCGCGGCAGATCAAGGAATTTGCTGAAAAAGCCATGTCTTCAGCTCGGCGCGGAAAGTATGAGGTCAGGGGCCGTCCGGAGCCCGGTGGGTAACCCATTCAACCCATTCAAGAGGGTTGGTGCGGCCACAGAGAACGTCCTCATCCTGGTTTAAATTAAAGATTTAAATTAAAGATTTACACAATGTTACATTACAGAAGGACACTCATTTTACTATACAATATATGCTATGAGAGAGCTAGTTTGGTATAGTGGTTAAGGCCCCAAGCTAGAAAGTGGGAGACTGTGAGTTCTAGTCCTGCCTTAGGCGCACAGGCAGCTGGGTGACCTTGGCCAGTTACATTCTTTCTGGGAAGAAGACAATGGCAAATGGGGTTGGCCACTTAATAAAGATGCCATGTGATAGTGAGGTGATGTTTCATTGATTTTACCACATTTAAGGATTTTATGTTTATTTTGTTGTAAATGCTTGCGAGTCTTTGTAGAATCAGTGGTGGCATATAAATATGACAGACATTTGTTTATATATTCTGAACATCAAGTAATTAGGTTAAACAGAGAGAATTATATAGATAAATACATGAGATTTTAATACCTTTTAAAGCACCTGAACCCCAGGCGTCAACAGGTCAAGGCAATCTCCAGATAAAATAATACTGGAATAAAAAAAAAGATCAAAATAAGAACTTTGTTTGGGACAAGCTATACGAACAACCAATTTTTATGGCCACATACCATCCTTGTTTCTTTATTTTCATAATATTTAAATTGAACAGTGAGCTACACACACAAATAATCATTTCAGAGGGTAATACCATATCTTCTGTTTTCATTTCCCATAATAGATGTTTCATTTTTTTCAATATAATCTTAGTAGGAAACCATTCTTGTATTCTACTCTCTACGTTCCTTTTTGTCCTGTAGTTCTTTTTCCATTTTTTTTCCAGTGGCCAAAATTGTACAAATGAAGTAATATAAAAAAATTAAAATTAATGCAATTTAAATAATTAATAGCTACATTAGCACAATCACTAATGCAGTCTTACACAAGCATTTCTTTGCAAACCATGCACTTATTTTGCACCAAATGAGATTTCATTGTTTGAGCGCATGTCTCCCAAAGAATACATTTTTTGCTAATTTTCTTTAATATATCTTTTGAAGACGTAGAAGAAATCTTTAAAAATATTGTATATTTTTATGGATGTATTTGCGTTGCCAATTGATGTTACAGAACATTTAATCACTGGTGTATAGCTTTAATATTAAGTTTATTCTTTAAACAAGAATAAACTTCTTTATTTATCAAATTTAGAAATCATCCATCTCCCTCACAAAGATGTGTTTGCCTGCAGCTAACACATAGGATTGTTTTGACCTGAGAAGTGGTTCCAAAACCATTTTACCATCTCATTCAAGTTCAAACAATTGACTAAAGAGCCAGTTTGGTGTACTGATTAAGGCACTAGGCTAGAAAGCAAAAGACTGTAAGTTTAAGTCCCACCTTAGTCATGAAGCCAGCTGGATAACTTTGGGCCAGTCCATCTCTCTCAGCTCAACCTACTCATAGGGTTGTTATTAGAGAGAAAATAGGACAAATAGGCATTGGATATGTTTGCTGCTGCCTTGAGTTGTTTCTAAAAATAATAAAGGCTGAAATAAATAAATACCTTCATCCAGAAAAAGTTTATTTTTGGAATACTTAATGTATATTCTAGATGACTTTGTGGACTATTACAGCTCCATGACTCAATTTCTTATGAAATATATTTAAATTGCCATGTTCTCTGTTTAAAATATTGTGCTACGTCACTGCAGCCTGCTTTTCGTTATCTTTCTTCTTGTCCTCTTTCATTGAACAATTATGTTGGGCAACACAGCAAAAATGAGAATGAAATAATTCTGTGAAAGAATGTTAACAACTTTCAAACGGTGACTCTCCCTCTCCCCCCCATATATCACATTAATATAATACAATGTTTTTTTAAAAAAAACTTTAAATATATGAATAATGAAGTAAAATTAGCTATTTTAATGTGTTCCAAGTTTACTTCATTTTGAATGGTACCATCCAATAGCAAACACATGGTAAGACCTAATTGAAACAACGTGCAGCTGAATACTTAAATGTAGAATATAAATATACAGCTGCAAGCAGGTCAGAAGTCAGAGTAGTAAACACATGCCAAATTCCCACAGGGAACTCGTTAATGCATGGCTGAATAGACATGCTGGGGCTAAATGAATATCACTATTTAGACCTCCAGAACGGAGACATTGATTAATCAGTTATAATTAGATGGAGATGCTATTTTGGCCAATTTCTCTGCAGATGGAAAGTCCTCAATACTTTGATATAGAAGTAAAACCAATCACAAAAATTAGAAAGCTGCTCAAAAGGTTTTTAGACATGTATAAAGTGGCAAGAGCAAGTTCCATTGGCATGTCAGTGCAGGCATTACGAGACTAGATGGCTGTTCCAGTTGATTTCAGTGAGATTTGGCATGTTTTGCTTTCTTTGGCTTTCAGCCTCTGGGTGCATACTGGAGAAAGTTAAGCACACTTAAGTTCCACTTGAAATTAATGAAATTAAATCCAATGCACATTATCTGGATAGCCTCCAAGCCTTCAGTAGATGAGGCTGTGGAATTTGCATTGTGCCTGCTAAATATCCCGACTCGCATGAGTATTTCACCATTTAATTTCTCTGTTAAAGTTGTATATATAAATCACATGCATTTATATGTGATTTCACATATAAATCACTTGTTCTCGTGTGATCTCACAAAGTACACTTCTTTCTTCATGAAAGAAAGTCGTTCTCATCTTCCAAAAAAAAAAAAAAAAAATCAGACCTAGGAAACTACAGACCAATCAACCTAACATCAATACCTGGGAAAATAGTGGAAAAGATCATCAAAAAAAAGATCTGCGAACATCTAGAAACAAATAAAGTTATAACCAAAAGCCAGCACAGGTTTGTTAAAAACAGATCATGCCAAACCAACCTTATTTCATTCTTTGACAAAATGTCTAAATAAGTAGACCAGCAAAATTCTGTGGACATAATATACTTAAGACTTCAGCAAGGCATTCGACAAAGTAGACCACAACCTACTTCTTGGTATGCTAGAAAAATGTAGGATAGACGGCATCACCAGCAGATGGATTTGTAACTGGCTGACAAACTGTACTCAACGAGTCATCCTTAACGGTACTACATCTACATGGAGGGAAATAAGCAGTGGAGTACCACAAGGTTCTGTCTTAGGCCCAATACTGTTCAGTACCTTCATAAATGACTTAGATGAGGGAAAAAGAAGGGGAATTCATCAAGTTTGCAGATGAACTAAGCTGGCAGGAATAGCCAATACCCCAGAAGACAAGCTCAGGATCCAAAAAGATCTTGACAGATTTGAACAATGGGCCCTATTCAACAAAATAAAATTTAATGTGGAGAAAAGCAAGGTTTTACATTTAGGCAGGAAAACCAAAGATACAAGTACAGATTAGGCAAAATCTGGTTCAAAAACAGTAACTGAGAGAGAGACCTTGAAGTCCTAGTGGATGATCACTTAAGTTTGAGCCAGCAGTGTGCTGCAGCAGTCAGAAAAGCTAATACAATCCTTGGTTGTATAAAACAGAGGCATAGAATAAAAATCATGTGAAGTAAGTATTAGTGTCGCTTTATAAAGCCTTAGTAAGGCCACACCTGGAATACTACATCCAGTTTTGGTTACCACATTACAAAAAAGATGTCGAGGCTTTGGAAAAAGTGCAAAGAAGAGCAGCTAAGATGATTAAATTCCTGGTGACAAAAACATGAAGAACGGTTGCAGAATTTCGGTTTGTCTAGTCTAGAGAAAAGAAAGACTAGGGGGGACATGATAGCAGTATTATATTATTAAAGAGGTTGCCACAAAGAGGAGGGGGTCAACTTGTGCAGTACTGCAGCTACTTCAGCTGACTGCTAGTTCAGCAGATCAGCGGATCAAATCTCACCGGCTCAAGGTTGACTCAGCCTTCCATCCTTTCGAGGTGGGTAAAACGAGGACCCAGATTGTTGGGGGCAATATGCTATTTAGTATACTGTCTTTGGTGTAAGCCGCCCAGAGTCCTCGGAGAGTGGGCGGCATAGAAATATGAATAATAAAATAAATAATAATAAATAATAAACTTATTTTCCAAAGCACCAGAGGACAGGACAAGAAACAATTGATGGAAACTAATTAAGGAGAGAAGCAACCTGGAATTAACAGTGAGGACAATGAAGCAGTGGAACAGCTTTCCATCAGAAGTTGTGGGTGCTTCATCACTGGAGGTTTTTAAGAAGAGACTGGACAGTCACTTGTCTGAAATGGTTTAGGGTCTCCTGCTTGAGCAGGGAGTTGGACTAGAAGACCTGCAAAGTCCCTTCCAGCTCTATTCTAATTGTACAAAGATAGCAGTCCTTAAACTTCTAGCAGGATAGTTTCTGAATAGATATCAATATAAAATGTCATTAAGACTCAGTTAACCTTTTGCAATTTGAGAATCTAATTCTGAACAAGACTTGGTGACAGCAAACTGTGTTTTAGCATTATAATGCAGTTTACTTTCTTGATGGTATGGTATTGAAATTATGTCCCAATACTGCTTCAGACCTCTGTATAAACCCTATAGATCACGTACAGGTAGTCCTCGACTTACGACATATTCTCTTTCCTCATTCCTTTACAGTTTCATATTGCAAGCCTTTCCTAATTTGTGTATCACTTATTAGCAGTCCAAATCATGCAATATGTTCAGAGAATAACCTTTCTCCCCCAGCTCAGTTCACTCCCCCCTTTTTTTCATTTGTTTTTCTTGCAGAGCTCAAAGTATATATACATACTTGAATGGTCACCTGGATCTGATTAAGAAATCTTTGCCTGTGGGTTTGCTCACTGTTGATTTACATGTTTGGCCAGATTTCCATGGCAACCGATCTCCCCTTGCAGATTTGACTCTAAAGGGCATGGTAAGAAACAGTCTGTTGTTGTAAAAGGGTGAAAACAGAATAATCGTATAAAATAAGACCATGAAATTAGCATTTTTATTTTTATTTTTTTAGCAATTTTATTTGAAAATTCTACAGAATGGTTTTCCTGAAATGATTGTTGACATCCTAACTGAAAAAAGATGAAAAAACAAAATAAAACAAAAGTTATATGTAATTCTATTATCATTAAAATATAATGGGGTACATTTTTTAACCTATACATGTAAAACTTTTGTTGCTATTTTTTAATTTTGCGTAGTTTTATATGATTTTATAGGATTACCTAAAGTTTGTAGGGGTTTGATAAGCAACAAATTCCAAAATATAATTGCTACTGAATATAACAGCAAAAATGCAATTAAAGACATAGAAGAATATGATATGTCTACAGAGACAAGAGGCTGTTTTGTGAGGCTACACAGGGTGGGAAGTATATATAGCAAGTCTATGTGAAACATCGGAAAAGCTTTATTGGGCATATGAAGATTTGGACAAAGAGAGAGAATTTCATCCTGGTAAAAAACATGAATTTCAGTATAAAACTGTTGAGCCACTGTATTTTTTACTAATATATGGATCCAAACCTCATCTGCCAGTTTTTTTCTGTACTCAAGCATTTCCATTTACAAGCATTAC